CAATTTGATTTAAAATGTATTTCTCTTTGGCAAACCATGAGAAACTCTTGAATGGTGAGAACAAACTGAGGACTGATGGGGGGGAGGGGTGAGATGGGCATGGATGAGGGCACTTGTGGGGATGAGCACTGGGTGTTATATGGAAACCAACTTAACCATAAACTATTTGTAAAAATAAATAAATAAATAAAACCTAGGCTTTGATGTAACTGAAAAAAAGATATTTATTTCTTTTTATTAAAACCAATTTTCTAATTTATTAAACATACAAGGAATACTTATAATATCTATTTAAATGTTCTTGTCTTTTATTTATATCATTACTTCATTTTTATGTTTCTAATGTTTGTTTTTTTAAATTTTTTTATCATGATCATGAGTCATATTATCCTATTGCTTTGTGTACCTGATACTTCTATATTGGATGCCAAGAATTGTCAATTTTATATTGTCAGATGCTAAATTTTGTTTCATTCCTTTAAATAATATTAGATATAGAATACAAAGTTATTTGAATGCTTTTTTGCATGATTGACTTTTAGGCCTCATTACAGTGAAGTCTTAGAGTTCTTAGCTTAAATTTTTAGCTTGATTAAAGTTATATTAGTTCCCCTACTAAGTTTAGACACATTTGAGGGTATATACCTAACACCCTTTGTATTACAAACTCTCTCTGTTTGAATTGTGAAAGCACAGCCTCTTAAAAGACCTGTGGAAATCTGGGAATTATTTCGCTTACTACTTTCCTTTGGTTTTATCCCTGGCCTCAGGTGGTTTCTCCTTAGACCGGCCCAGATACATGCATCCACCTTGGCTTCTCTGATGTTAACCTTTGTCTTCTTTTATTCAACGGCACTGTTCCTGCAGTGTTGCATGGAAACTACAACTAGATGCCAAGCCTGAGCAATCAGAGAGATCACATTTATTTTCTTTATCTCATAGATTATTGCCACGTACTGTGTGTTGTCTAATTTGTGACCACATTGATTCATATTTTTCTCTGCTTAAGGAAAAAAATTAAGGCAAGAGTTTAAATCTTATCTCATTTATTCCATTATAGATGGAAGCAGAAATCAAGTTATTATTATGAATCTATTTAATTGCATAGTTCAACAATTCAAACACAATATGTATAATTTTTATACATCTAGAAACCAATCAACTTATGCAATGTGATATTTGGGTTACAGCATTCTTAGTGAAGTTAATCTGGTTCCTAAAAATCAATATGTCCTTTAAAAAGGATTTAAATGAGGCTATTTTAAACTTTTCTCAGATCTTGCTGAATGATTAACATTATCTTTACTAATTTTTAATTTGATAAATTCACATGATTTTCTTTTAATAATTAGAATTGCAGTTGCTTACTATTGTTTGTATATCTGTTATTACCAGCAAACATCTAAAACTTAATTGGATAGACAATTTTATTTCCATTTCCATTCATTATCTGTAGGACTATTTTCTGGAGAGAAATATATTCGATATAAATATTTAATTCACATGTATGAATATTGAATTCATATGTATTAGTTATATATTCTACTTAATCTTGTTACCTCATTCATATTTAACATATTTCATAATATTATTTGATTTACCATATATAGGCCGATAATTATTCTTTTTTAAATGTTTATTTATATTTGAGAGAGAGAAAGAGAGTATCAGCAGGGGAGGGCCAGAGACAGAGGGGGACAGAGGATCCGAAATGGGCTCTATGCTGACAGCAACAAGTCAAATGAGGGGCTCAAACTTAGGAACCTGTGAACTCATGGCCTGAGCCAACGTTCAACCATTTGAGACACCCAGCTGCCCTAAAGGTCAATAATTATTCTTGAGAACAAAGACAGAATCAACAAAACAATGCACAGTTCCTTATTCTCAGTGTTATATGCTGACATAATTTTTCCTAAAAGAGGTAACTTCTTTTTTAAAATTGTTTTTGTATGGAAATATGTTTTTAATTTAAAATTTTAGACTACAGATATAGAGGTTTATTTATCTTACTATTAAGTTCACAATATATCATATACACAGATTCAGGTAAAACCCTATATGATTTTATTTTTTTTCCATTTCATTGTTTCCTTTTTTCTTTTAAATGTTTATTTTTTTATTTTTGAGAGACAGAGAGAGACAGAGAGAAAGAGAGAGAGAGAAAAAGAGAGAGCACAAGCGGGGGAAGAGTGGAGAGAGAAACAGAGAATATGAAGCAAGCACCAGACCCTGAGCTATCAGTGCAGAGTCCGACACAGGGCTCAAACCGACGAACTATGAGATCATGACCTGAGCCAAAGTTGGATGCTCAGCCAACCAAGCCACCTGGGCACTTCATTCTGATTTCCTTTTATTTTCCGTCTACCCCCTCCAGGGCTGCCATACACACTTACTCTGACATCTTTGACAAAGTTCCTTAAGTATGCATTTGTCTATGCTAAATACATAATGGTGTTTTTGTTCCATAATTTTACTTTTGCATAGTTGGCTTTGTGCATTAAATTTAAAGATATTTCTATGTTTCTCTATGGACATATATGATATTTTACTAGATGCTGATTATTTCTTATTGATGGTCACTATGTTGCCCCCTTGCTAACACAAATAACATGAAACAGAGCATAGGTATACCTCTTTGGACCAGGATTGGCTCATTAGGTTAAAGGGCAATCATAATTAATTTACTTAAATATTTCAAAATTGTTTTTCAGAGTGTTCCAACTTACTAACTTTCTAAGAGTTTGTTATCTTTCTAAAGATTCTATATTTGTAAACTGTTCAATTTGAAAGCAACATTTTGATATACTGTTTACAGTCTCATATATATTTGATTCATGGAATTATATATGCTGTCATTGATTTTATCTGCCTTCTGTATTACAGTGGTTTAGACCATCTCTTTAAGTTGCTGCAGTATTTCAGAGCAATACTGAACAATTTCAGTGTTCACCTTCTGTGGTGTGAATATACTATTGGATTTCCTGAACTATCTGATTGGATTTCTATTCAGTTTATGCACTCAGTTTTCATTTCTATGTCAGTTGAGTACTTCTTTAATCCTATTGTTATTATTTCTTGTTTCCAATTTTTATAGTATCATTTTGGATTTCAAAATATTATTATGCATTTCTGTTCAATCGGTTTTCTCCATTTTTGTTTCATTTGTATAGGTTGTTTTTTTTATTTGACCATTTTCATTTTTATGTCCTCCCTAATTGTATGCTAAGTTTTCCCATGTGAACTCATCTTGATTTGCTTAATATTCTCCGTATTTAGGCTAGTGACACCTTCCTGTAGCCAAAAGTAGAGATGAAAATCTTAGTGAGACCCTAAAATGTGCTGTTCACATTAGTGGAGGAGGGGTGTAAATTTAAGATTTCAGTGAGTCCCACCATTCCATGTAAACCTTGCCTTGTATTGCTTCCAAATCACTGCATCATAGACCTTGTTCTTTAGCTTTAAGTTCAGTTATCCTCTTAATAATTCCCCATATTCTGGATTGGGTGAGTTTAGAGATCTGCAGGAACAGCCACCCCGAAACTCTTGTTTCTTTAGCCTAGTAATAGGCCAGCATTCCCTTAACATTACCCTACCTATTCGCTCTACTGGGTTGCTGCCTTCTTGATATGAATGGATCTGGCAAGAATCTAGGATTATAAGATCTGGGCCAGTGGTGCAAAATAAGTAAATTATTTTTTTATTTATACATTATGCTATCTTATGAGGTTTAGGGTACCATGAACATCCCCAGTAGCTTGCAAGTGTGAGTAAAATGTGGGACAGATTTTCAGCTTTAACCTCATAATGGCTTTGTCATACCTTTAGTTTTGGGCTTGCAGAGTCACAACATTAAAGACAGAAGGGAAACAATCCAGACTTTTCTTTCCCAGAATATTCTCAACAATCAAATCTCATAGTCCTCTCCTGATAAGGTTCCATCTCTTCCAACAATTGTTACTCTGTTTCCCATTATTTGGATCTGAATTTCATCAGAGTTCAAATAGTTTTTTTCTTTTCATTTCTAGATTTTTAGTGAGCAACTGGAACTACTAGCTAGTTCCTATTTGTTCTCTTATTGCACTAAACATTTCAATTCTGAACTAAGCAATAAATAACTCAAAACTTTTGCCTTTACCAGCCAATGCTAAGAATTAAATCACTGTCTTAAAAAGCTAAATCAGTCATGACTGATGAGCCACTACACTGGTCATTAATTTTACTTTCATCCACTCAAATTCAGGAACTGATGGGCCTTGGAGTTATTATGCACTATCAGGTCATACTTAAATTTTCTGAGAGATAAATTTCTCACATATATCTTGTCTTTGACTAAATGTGTAGGGCTAAACTTTTCTCCTTTTCCTTACATTCTCTTTTATTTCTCCTTCCTGAAAATTTTATTTTACTTAGCATGATGTTTTTACCTCAAGTCAACTAGAATGATTTTTATGGAATATGTTTACGTTCTCTCTCGTTAAAAAAAAATGCCTCATACCTGGTACACAGTTTACGTGATTAAGAAATCTTTATATATATATTTATATATATTTATATATTTATATATATTTATATTTATATATTAATATATATCATATATATATGATATATCATATTTTAATTTTTTTTGCTTATTCTAGAGAGAGAGAGAAAGACCACATATAGGAGGGAAGAGGGAGGGGGAAAGAATCTTTTTTTATTTTTAAGTTTTATCTATTTTTGAGAGAGAGTGAGCACATGAACAGGAGGGGAGCAGAGAGAGAAAGCAAGAGAGAAAATCCCAAGCAGCTTCCAAGCATTCAGAGCAGAGCCTGATGTAGGGCTCAAAGTCACAAACTGTGAGATCATGACCTGAGCTGAGATCAAGAGTCGGATGCCTAACTGATTCAGCCACCCAGGTGCCCCTAGAGAGAGAATCTTAGGCAGGTTCCATGCTCAGAATGGAGCCCATTGTGAGGCTCAATCCCACAACCCTGGGATCATGACTGGAGCTAAAATCAAGAGTCAGATGTTCAACCCACTGAGCCACCCAGGTGCCCTGGTTAAAAAATCTTTTTTAATTTCCTTCAATATCTTTGTCTTATTTTTAGTCTAAGTTTGAGTTCCCTTCTGGCTTCTAAGAATTGTTTATTTTTTTTAAATAAATTTATGTTCCATTCAACAGGTTTTTATTCCATTTGGTAGAATTCATTCAGTATATTCAGGAGGTTAAAGTTACACATGAGGAACTGGCCTATTTCATGGATTTCATGGATGAAGAACAATGGTCCTTATAAATGTAAGTTATATGTTTGAGTCAAGGCCCTAAAAGAATATGAGCATGTAGAAAAATCGGCTGAATATAATTTGGCTGGAACAAGGAATAGTTATGATTATACTTCAGTCAGTAAAACAACTAAAATTTACAATAAGTATCACTTGGTTTAACATTAGTATGAAAAAAATGAGCCTTCTAGCTGACAGAGGGTCCATCAGTGTGTTGCAAGTCCCAATAATGTATGCAATTTTCACTCTTTACTCAATATGTAGAATAAGGAAGATTATTATAAACAAGCTTTTGTTTGTTTCTTTCTCTGAAGTGTTGTCTGTCAAGGATAATGTACCAAAGATAGTGAAGATCAAAAGATTTGTCCAAAAACAGAAAATTTAAAGAAAGGAAAAAGCCATGTAAATATCATGCTTGTTTTCAAATAGATGAAACATTGTTTGGTAACAATAACTTTTATTTCCTCAGTGAAAATAGTCTACAATATATAAAAAATATATATATATAAGAAAATTTGACAGGATCCTGGAAAAGAAGCAACCAAATCAGGAATTCAATCGTATAAAATGGGATAACAAGGGATGACATGTTTATAAATCAGGCACAGAAACCTCAATCATGGAATGGATAATCATGGTCTGTTGCCCAAATGCTACTTCTGAGTAGGGAGAACAAAAACAGCAACAAATACAGGTATGAATCTAGAGGTTGGTCATGCAGCATTGTTTTCAGGAGGTCAAAATTTGAAAGGTTTAGATCAATCTGTGTCATCACAAAGGAAAAAATAATCTATGACATGTTGGTCATGATTATAGGAAAATAATATCAATGTAAAGGATGTTTTCTTTCTCCATTAGAGTAGTCATAACACTATATGATTGTCTGTGGAGTCTGAATTCTTCATACCTAATTGGTGGAGGAGAAAAGAGGAACTAGAGTTTCGGTACTACTTTGCTCTGCGTCTACACTGTCTTAAGAACTACAGGGGACAGACCCTACAGTAGGAACTTCTCTGAATCCACTTTGAAAAACAGAGGTAAGGAAAATGACGGGAAGCTGAAAATATGTGTTGATTTTAAGGCTATTAGTAAAAATACACTGCAGAATTTCAATATCTTTGTAGCTATAGTAATCTGATGACTCTACCACACTCATGGTTACTTTCCCAAATTAGCTTAGGCTCCTGCATGACACTTTTATTCTAATTGACTAACCTGTCATCATCCTTCCTGATATCGAGAGCTATAGGCAGCCTATTAAACCTGGCCTCACAAATCCTTAAATTAATTCACTGAAGCAATTTTCACTGCAGTCCACTTTAACTTCATATTCCATTGCCATACCAAGACGTTACCATAATCAGAAATCTGTAATCTTTGAACTCTTAAACTGCAACATTCTAAGTGGTTTAATATTAATCTATTCTCATCTAAGCCCTTAAGTTAATTCCCTTTCTATACTTACTTCTTTAATGCATTTAGTGGTGGACTACACCATATATAAAAATATGTACAATGTAAATGAACAATTTAAAGAGAAATAATATGAAAACTCAAGCACGCAGGAACAAGTGTCTATGTATGTGTGTGCAACTAGTATTTTATCCATACATGTATAGCATTTTGTATTTAAAAAGTGTATTTTGTACATTTCATATATAGTAATCTATAAAAAGAAATAAAATATATGTGTATATATATGTATGTACATGTGTTTGTATATGTATGTTTACATATAGGCATATGTACATGTACATCCACGCATATGTATATATCCAACATTTTGGAAAATACTTATACTCCACCTTATCACATACCTTTCTCCACTGATAATTGCTACTTTATTCTGTACTTTCTATATTCCAAGCTCTATTATAGACCTAAAAGGAAAGAAAATAAAATCAGTAGAAAAATTGAAGAAATACTTTGCCTTTGTTGATCTTACATTCAAATGTGTGCCTTTCAGAGCATGGGAAAGCATACAACAATTACACAAAAATACTTCGCTTTCTAAATGTCAATAAATACAATGCAGAAAATAAAGTGAACAGTCTCATAAAGATTGTTGATTGGGAGGGACTGGTAATTTTAAATGTGTTATTCAGAGACATTTCACTGAGTATGAAATGGGCCCTTCCACTTTTCATTCATTAGTCAGAGAGAAAAAAATTACCCACTCAGTTAACAAAAAGACTAAGAAGATATGTATTTGCAATACAAAATGCAAGACACTAAATTAAATACAATTTGAATAGATTCCTTGCCTATAGGAGACAAAAATTGAGATTGAAAGAGAGACAACAAAAAATCATTTGTTGTAAATTGGTATTGGACTCAACCAAATGTTCCCATGTACTCTACTTATATTTATCCAATTTAATTATCTGTTTCCTAGTTTCTCTTATCAGGGATGTTACAAACCATTTTTAAGTACAGAACCTAGTATCATTTCTGAAATGTAGCAAAGAATAAAAGAAGTTGTTAAATTGATAGACAAATGAACAAATTTACATTAGTGATAGATGAAACTAGTGTTTTAAAGTATCTTCCTCACATTTCATTTTGAAATCATGAAATATTGAAAAGTTGTTCCCTTTCTATTGTGTGTATATGTGAAAGAGAAAATATCCAAACCATTTTTTAAATTTATTTTCTCTGGACTTCAATTCTGGAAAAAAAAAAACAAGTATACTTCTTATATATGTGTTATATAAATTCTTAAGAGGATTATTGAAGTAGGCTAATAATTTCTGTTTAGATTTCATGCTTTCTTTGGCCACAAACATTTTTGAGCCTTCAGGGATTTTAGATGAAGATATCTGCCACAATTCACCACCACCCCCCCCCTCAAAAAATAAAAGATAAAGAGGATAACTGCTTAGCTTTGACTTGTGAGCGGAAATTGCTCTGACCACTCAGTGACACAGAACGCAATTGCTGAAACATTAACAATAAGAAAGGCAGCTGAGAAAATTACTAGAGTGGACAGTCACAAAATGCTTTTCCAGTCCATTAGACCACAGCATATTCAGCTAGATTTTAACAGATGTTCTGAGATTCATGTAAAATATTAAAATGTTCTTTAATTCAATCATAGCATTCCAACTGAGGAAACAGCCCGATTTATTGCACCTTTTTAAGCTAATACCAAAGATCCATTGAAGAAGTAGTGAAAGCACAAGGAAGCTCAGGGAAGCTCGGCCCCTCTGGCTACAGGCCAGAGCCTACTAGCTTGCCACTTGGAGTTATTGCGATGCAAATGCCTGGAAGCCAGGCACTCACTGAATCTGAATTAATACTGAAGGGGAGAGAGGAAGAAACAATAACAGCAATAAACAAAAACACAAACAGAATCACTGTGTGGAAAAAAAGCTTGGCATTTTGAGCCTATAATAAGAATCTAAATTGGTTCATTCAGCAGCACCAAAGAAAACAGGGCATATCAAAAGTACCTGGAGGGATTCTTGAAGTGATGATAACTTGAAAAAATATTTGAAAGAATAAAAGGAATATTTACTTCTTCTTTATTCAAATAGCTCATCTTACAGACTTTTTAAAACATTAAAAGTGTTAAAAAGGACATTGGTGGGATGCATCTAAAAATATAAGAACTTTACAAACGAAAACAGAAACATATTGATTATTCCAAAGGAAACTTGATTACTATATTCCAGGCAAATCACATACTGCTAATGTTTTTTACAAAAATACAATTGTCCAGGTTTAACTCCAGATCCCAAAGTAAAATGTTGTGTTTTTGAAATTTTAAGGATATGTTTTAAACTTTATGGATATGACAAAATGAAACTCCTGCAAATTTACAAATTTTACATCTTCAATTTTTCACTAACTACTCAAATATCACAAAATTAAATTTTTTGTAAAGCTTTATTAATAGTTGAAAGTAAAAGAGAGTATGTATTGTTAAAAAATGATGCTGAATAAGTCCTGGACTTTATTTGTTATGTATAGATCTTCATACTTTCTTTTGTGCTATTTATATATAAACAAACAATGTATTAGATATTAATGCTGTCCATCAAAATTTCTGGGTCATCACTTCATCGAAGCATATGATGGTGTTTCTCTCTCCCTTTAAAGTTAAGAATCAACTTGTGACTTGTTTTGGGCAATGGTATAGCAGTTTAAGTGATGGAAGACAATTCTGGGCAGAATCATCAGTAGCCATAACACAGCGCTATTTATCTAGTCCCTTTCTCCTGCCTTAGTGATCTTTGAAGCACTATCAAGATGAAAATGGGAATTGGTCTATATCCTCTTTTATATTCAAGGCTAATATGCAACAAAACAACTCATTTTGGAAAAGTAGTATGAATATGTAATAACTTTTGTTTCACTATCCACTGAAACGTGGAAGCAGTTTGCTAACTCCATGCAAGTGACCCCATCCTGATATGAACAGAAATAGGTAGTAACAGAAGGAAATACTGCTGTTACAGATAAGTACAATATGGGACATATTCTGAAAGTCCTACAGTGAGCAAAATGGGAGAAATTGTTATTGCAGCATGGAAAAATAGTGATTCAAGCAATATGGTGACAAAGAAACTAGTAAAATGGTTACTTCTGATAGCAAGGAAGACAGATCATGGATGTAATGACATTTTATCTTTTGAGTAACAGCTTGAAAAACAAAACGTTAGTAATGTGTGCCATTAGCTACTGACTCCAAAAAAGAAGTCAGAGATTAATTTCAGGTTTGCTAAAAAGAATGAAAAGGGATGGAAAGTACAAAACCATGATAATTTGAAGAAGCACATGCTTCTCACACCCATTTTCTAAAATCAAGAAAGCTCTGGCACCCAAAAACATTTAAAACTCATCATTACACTGATTATAAAACCAACTGTCTGCATATCACACTTATTCAAACTTCTGTCCAGATTATAAGGTTTCACATAAAGGGCTACTAATAGTGTGGTATACAGTGCTTTGTTTCAGTTGGACATTCTTCAGAGAAAATATATTAATTATTTATCCCATTCTAGCATTGTGGGCTTAAGCTATCTGAGTTTAAATCATAAGGGCTGTATAAAGTAAAAATGAGTATAGATATAAGAAGTAAATTATGTAAATTATCGAGTATAGTTATTATTGTGGGTGCTATTCTAAATAAAGAATAAATATGAAGCCGATTAAGTTTTAAAAAAAGTTATATTGATCAGTTTGTATTAATGAAGAGGCTAAGAATTTTAGAGATTTAAAGTTGCCTTGGGCCCCCCCTAATCTACTGGCAGGAAATAGGATAAATATGTTTTTTTTTTTTTTCTTATCAAGATACTAAGGCCAAAACAGTAAATGAGAGATATCATAGAAAGTGGAAACAGTGATTCTGGATAAAAACAAACATGTAAGCTTTTTCCAGAAAGCAGAACTAAGTTTTTATCAAGTGTCCCCCTTCTTTCATGAAGACACAAATCATTGTTCAGAGATTCTGGACTCTGAGTTCAGTCTCATAACTGAATAGAAAATTTGTCTTATTTGGGAACATTGTGCGTAAGTTGTTTACAGGGAAAGCAGATTTTTTTTTTTTTTTTTACAAATAGTTTATTGTCAAATCAGTTTCCACATAACACTCAGTGCTCATTCAAGAGCCTCTCATGGTTTGCCTCTCTCCGTTTCCCCCACCATTTACCCCCTTCTTCTCCAACTTGTTCCTCCGTCAAGTTCCTCCTAATCCTCCTATACGTGCAAACATATGATATTTGTCCTTCTCTGCCTGACTTATTTCGCTCAGCATAACACCTCAAGGTCCATCCATGTTGCTACACATGGCCAGATTTCATTCTTTCTCATTGCCATGTAGTATTCCATTGTATAGATAAACCACATCTTCTTGATCCATTCATCTGTTGATGGACACTTAGGCTCTTTCCATGTTTTAGCTATTGTGGAGAGTGCTGCTATGAACATTGGGGTACATGTGCTCCTATGCCTCAGCATTTCTGTATCCCTTGGGTAAATTCCTAGCAGTGCTATTGCTGGGTCATAGGGGAGTTCTATTGTTAGTTTCCTGAGGAACCTCCACACTGTTTTCCAGAGGGGCTGTACCAGTTTACATTCCCACCAACAGTGTAGGAGGGTGCCCGTTTCTCCACATCCTCGCCAGCATCTAGAGTTCTCTGATTTGCTCATTTTAGCCACTCTGACTGGCGTGAGGTGGTATCTCAGTGTGGTTTTGATTTGTATTTCCCTGATGAGGAGGGATGCTGAGCATCGTTTCATGTGTCTGTTGGCCATCTGGATGTCCTCTTTGGAGAAGTGTCTGTTCATGTCTTCTGCCCATTTCTTCACTGGGTTGTTTGTTTTTCGGGCGTGTAGTTTGGTGAGTTCCTTATAGATTCTGGATATTAACCCTTTATCTGATATGTCATTTGCAACTATCTTTTCCCATTCCGTTGGTTGCCTATTAATTTTCTGGGTTGTTTCCTTGGCTGTGCAGAAGCTTTTAATCTTGATGAGGTCCCAACAGTTTATTTTTGCTCTTGATTCCCTTGCTTTTGGGGATGTGTCAAGTAAGAAGTTGCTGCGGTGGAGGTCAAGGAGGTTGTTTCCTGCTTTCTCCTCTAGGGTGTTGATAGTTTCCTGTCTCACGTTCAGGTCCTTTATCCATTTTGAGTTGATTTTTGTGCATGGTGTGAGAAAATGATCTAGTTTCATTCTTCTGCATGTTGCTGTCCAGTTCTCCCAACACCATCTGTTAAAAAGGCTGTCTTTTTTCCATTGGATATTCTTTCCTGCTTTGTCAAAGATCAGTTGGCTGTATACTTTTGGGTCCACTTCTGAGTTCTCAATTCTGTTCCATTGGTCTATGTGTCTGTTTTTGTGCCAATACCATACTGTCTTGAGGATGACAGCTTTGTAGTAGAGGCTGAAGTCTGGGATGGTGATACCTCCCGTTTTGGTTTTATTTTTCAGTATTACTTTGGCTATTCGGGGTCTTTTGTGGTTCCATACAAATTTTTGGATAGTTTGTTCTAGTTTTGAGAAGTATGCTGGTGCAATTTTGATTGGAATTGCATTGAATGTGTAGAGTGCTTTAGGTAGTAATGACATCTTAACTATATTTATTCTTCCTATCCATGAGCATGGAATGTTTTTCCATTTCTTTGTGTCTTCTTCAATTTCCTTCATAAGTTTTCTATAGTTTTCATCATACAGATCTCTTGTATCCTTGGTTAGGTTTATTCCGAGGTATTTTATGGTTTTTTGTGCAATTGTGAATGGGATCAGTTTCTTGATTTCTCTTTCTGTTGCTTCATTATTGGTGTATAAAAATGCAACCGATTTCTGTACGTTGATTTTGTACCCTGCAACTTGGCTGAATTCTTGGATCAGTTCTAGTAGGCTTCTGGTGGAGTCTGTCGGGTTTTCTATGTAGAGTATCATGTCATCTGCGAAGAGTGAAAGTTTGACTTCCTCTTTGCCAATTCTGATGCCTTTGATTTCCTTTTGTTGTCTGATGGCTGATGCTAGGACTTCCAGCACTATGTTAAACAACAGTGGTGAGAGTGGACATCCCTGTCGTGTTCCTGATCTCAGGGGGAAAGCTCTCAGTTTTTCCCCGTTGAGGATGATGTTAGCTGAAGGCTTCTCATAGATGGCTTTGATGATGTTTAAGTAGGTTCCTTCTATCCCAACTTTCTCGAGAGTCTTTATTAAGAAGGGATGCTGTATTTTGTCAAATGCTTTTTCTGCATCTATTGACAGGATCATATGGTTTTTATCTTTTCTTTTATTGATATGATGGATCACATTGATTGATTTGCGAATGTTGAACCAGCCCTGTAACCCAGGAATGAATCCCACTTGATCTTGGTGGATGATTCTTTTTATATGCTGCTGGATTCGATTTGCAAGGATCTTGTTGAGAATTTTTGCATCCGTATTCATCAAGGATATTGGCCTGTAGTTCTCTTTTTTTGCTGGATCTCTGTCTGGCTTGGGAATCAGAGTGATGCTGGCTTCATAAAATGAGTCCGGGAGTTTTCCTTCGATTTCTATTTTTTGGAATAGCTTGAGAAGAATTGGGATTAATTCTGTTTTAAAGGTCTGGTAGAATTCCTCAGGGAAGCCATCAGGTCCAGGGTTCTTATTTGTTGGGAGATTTTTGGTAACATTCAATTTCTTCACTCTTTATGGGTCTGTTCAGGTTTTCTATTTCTACAGGGAAAGCAGATTAATGAGTGTTCATCAACTTAGATCTTGGACTGACTACTTGAACAGAGCCCCTTGCTAATATGCGCACAGTGGTAGTGAATAATAAGCCCTTAGTTACGTTACACTACTGTAATTCTGGAGTTGCTAGCAAATTTACAAATCTAGCCTTTAGTATGTGATAATGAACAAATATTCTTTAGTTTTCTATTTAAGAAATAAAATAATAATAAAAATAATGAATTGTGTTCTATACAAACTATTACTGTATAAATGGACTAATGAACAAAG